TAAAAAACTAAAATAATACATATATATTTCTTTATATATAACTATAGATACATAGTCATTGATTTATGACGAGATAGTAGAAAAAAGATGTATCTACATGATTCAATAGAAATGGACATGTAAGCAAATGAAACCTTGCACGCATAAAATAAAATAAAATAAAATAAAATAAAATAAAATAAAATAAGAAGCAGTGGTAATTACTGAAAAGAAGAAAACAACAAAAACATGAGTATGGTTCATTGATACCTTTCCTTTTCCGTTGCAACTTAATTCTGCTTTCCGACTATATATATAGAGAGATGAGAGTGAAAAGGTGAAAGGAACATGGTCTTCTTCTCCATTCTCCATTCTCCGTTGTCGCACATTCTGAAATTCTGAAGAGAAAGAAGAATGAGAGAGGAATTGGTGATGCAAGAAGGCTACGTTGCCAATGAAGAGAGGTACCTCACAGTGCTTAAAACCTCTCTCTTCTTCAACGGTGATGGCTTCGCCGTCTACGATTCCAAGGGTCAACTCGTTTTCCGCTTCGACTCCTATGGTCCACGGTCACGTGACAAAGACGAGCTTGTTCTCATGGATCCCAATGGCCGTTCTCTTCTTACTCTGCGCCGGAAGGTACAATTACAACCTTTTTTTTTTTTTGCTTTCTACCAGGTCGATCACATGTTTATGCTCTAATTCTCAGATCACCGATTCAGTGTTTCTCTGTTTTTTATTCTTTTATTTACAACTGAAACGTTTCTGATTGATTCGGCAGAAGCCGAGTCTTCATCAACGGTGGGAAGGGTTCAGAGGGGAGAGAAGGGAGGGAGAGAGAGCCGTTTTCAGCGTGAAGAGATCGTCGATCATCGGACGGTCGCGGACGAGCGTGGCGGTAGAGGTGTACGATAGGGCTGGTGTGGAGTACCTGATCGAAGGGTGTTTCCGGCAGCGGTGGTGCAAGGTTTTGAATGCGGGGAAGGAAACGGTGGCCGAGATTCGTCGCAAGGTGGACCCCACCACTAGCGTTATGCTGGGGAAGGAAGTGTTTTGGCTTTGCGTGAAGCCTGGTTTTGATGCGGCCTTCGCCATGGGATTGGTGTTGGTGCTTGATGAGATGAACGGTGAGAATTACTTTGACGATAGAATGGAAGAGCCTGTGGTGCGCTCTGCCGCAGAGGATCCGGGACTAGTTTCACCTCTTCCAGTTTGAGAGAAATGCTGTTTATTCTGATGCTGACGTTATACTCACTCATATTAGAAACGTTTTTCTTTTTAAATAATAATGATAATGTTGTGGATGAAATCACTTGGCAATGTAGTACATTGTCATTTGCAAAGAACACAAGGATGAACTGATCCTAATTTCCCTTGTTATTTCTCACAATTAGCATTTTAATAAAATAATTAAAAATTAAGAAATGTACGCTACGAGTGTTTAAAACTGTATACACAACTCTTTGTGCGTTGCATTTTATTTTTAAGAAAAAATACATAAAAATAATGTTTAGATTATGGTAAGAAAATAAAATCTAATTTCAGGTAGCGTGGTAACAAAATGTCTATTTATTAATATTTAAAGGTTTTAAATTAGCAAAGAGACAGAAATTGATATTGATGTATTGGAAATCTATTGATATTTTCTTGTAAAAAGTATAGGTCAAATAAATTATCATGATTATGACAAGTCTCCTATTATATTTGATGACTAGATTGTACTTAAAAAGACATAAAATAATTAAAAATTATTATTATTGTTATAATTATTAAAGATATTAAAGATATATCCTATAGAGAAAATTATTAAAAATAATAAAAGTCTACTTCGTAAAAAAAATAATAATAAAATCATGACTTATAAGTGAACAAAGAAGACAAAATATATCAAAACTTTGTCTCTGTATAGAAAAGAATTAAAAAAATAAACTTTATAAACATAATCAAAGAATTCATAGGTATTATTGGAGTCATTAGGGATGATAGATTTGAGTACAATAAATATTAAAAAAAATCAAAGCTATAAAAAATTAGTTAACTAAATTTACTATTTTGAGATTTGATGTTGCTTCACTTATAATAATTAATATAAGAGTATATAGATATGACTTTATTAATATCTAGACAAACAAAGATTTTGAAGCTCTATAGAAAATTTAGTTCATAGCTAGATTTTCTGTTGGGCTATAAAATAAAAAATGAGTCATGGTGGGCTTGTAGCCCAAACACGCAGTAAAATTTTTTCCTCGAGTTAATTCATTTTCTTTTTTATTTAAAATAAATTTTGGTTTCTTAAATTTAAGAATCAGTCACATCAATTGTTATAAATTTTATTTAAATAACTTTAAAATAAAGTCATGAAAGGACTTATTATCTAACGAAAAAAAAGAGTTTTAAAACTTAATGGCGTTACTCTACAAAAATAAAACTCATTTAATGCATTTACAAAATTTCTTCCTAAACCGAGTAGAATTGATTTAATCATCAAGCTATATTAATCTATTTCAATAATTTCTCAAAATAACTTATAACTATAATTTACAAAGTATATGAACATCATTCAATTCCTATAATATCTACAGAAAAATAATTATTCAGTAAGATTAAATGACTTAATTAAATGGACCCAAAAAGCTGTGACAAACATTTGTAAACCACCAAAATTAAATCAAACATTTGACTAATTTAGCATATAATTTATCTAAAGTTTGCTTGTAGCAAATGCAAATTACATCAACCATTACTTTTGACCTAATTTAGAAACCATAAAAGTTTTTTATTGATCAAACTATAAGCAAGAATGCTACAACTACAACATAGGAAACATATAATTATTAGTAGGTCACACTCATAAATCAGATTGAACACTTCAAGCATGATGTCCAAAAAGCACTACAATAAATGAGGATAAGAAGAGAAAGAAGGCAACGGAAGCAGGGGAAAAAGTGGCTGCCGGAGATGAAGGTGGTGGTGGTTGCGGAGTGGTGTTGGCACCCGGTGAAACGGCGGTGGAAGGTGGCAAACCGGAGCCGGAGACATTGACGGCTAACCTCTGTCCACGTATACAGTGTTGACCGATGCTACAGATGTAGTAATGTTGACCGGCTGTGTCAAGGGTAACGTTGACCGGACCCGTTGTATATGTACGTATAGGATTAGTCGAAGTGCACGAAGTGTAGGATTCTTCCGGCACTTCAACCAGGTTATGCTGTTGTGTCTGAAAATCGAAGTCTTAAAAAGAAAAACAAATTATTCTGTCAGAAGTGTAAAGCATGGGATTAGACATTTTTAATGGAAAGTCCATATTGATGGAATAATATGTGCGACAAAATAAGGATAAATTTTAATCATAAAATGAATTTTAAGTCTAATTCAACCCACAAAATCAATTTATAAAACGAGGATTACGTCCATTTATAAACTATAAATTGAACTTATAATCGGCGTGAGACTTTCACGATGTTTTGAAATTCAAGCATGGATAATTAAGGTAAAATCATGGTATGAATCGAAGACTTACGTAGAATATCTCCGACTGCAAAAGTTTTGTCAGAAACCCAAGATTGGTATGTGGAGGAATCTTGTGGGGTTGTCCAGCCCGTGCCGTCTCCAACATTGAACACTCTTTGTGCCTCTGAATACTGTACAAACATTAAAACTGTCACCATTAAACTAAGACAGAGCGAACTAACCATGTTGTTCGTGTTCAAAATTCTTGCAAAATATGTTTTTGTTGGTGTAAAGTGTAGTGAAGATATATAACAATGGCAAAGTTGGTTCTGTTTTTGGTTGAAGTGTTTTGAGTGGAGAGCCAAGCTATAAATAGAGGAAGAAACCAAAGTTACAGAGTAAACTTGACTTTGATAGACTCCAAACAAAGAAAAAGTATTTAGTTTCTTATACATCATGACTAATTCAATTTACAAAATTTGGATTTTACAAAATCAAAAGTTTTGGTATAAAATCTTACATCAATTCAAAATAAAACCAATTTAAGATATATGAATGATTACAAATTTTACGTTATAAATAAATTTTTTATACGATTGAGTTTGATTTAAAATTTAATCTTTAATATAACACAAAATTTAATAAATTTTTTATTTGTTGAATATATTGTCTTATCATTATCAAAATATTTATTGTTTACTACATATATTATTTTGTCTACTATAGTTAAACTTAAAATTTATTTTTTAATAATATATATATATATATATATATATATATATATAAAATAAATTTAACAAATAATAAATTTTAAGATGAAAAAAAGTCATCTCTACAATAATTTTATTTTTATATTAATAAGAAAAACTAAATAAAGGGAATAAGTTTCCATCATAATTAAATGAAATTTGTACAATTTGAACAAAGCATAACATTTAACACCTCATGCTTGATTTTAAATATAATTGTATTTCAAATGATTTTAAGTTAGTTAATGAAATAACTACTTATAAAACGTCTTTTATTTAATTGGATTATAATATTTTTAATCATTTTATTTTCCTATCAAATTTAATAGAAAAAAAAAGTTTTTCTTTTGGTTAAAAAATTATATGATGAAAAATTAAAATTATATGTTTAGCTTGTGGGTTGGTGTTAGCCGCACCGGTGGAGACGCCACTCTTTCGGCCTTCCTGGTTACGCAATGGTTCAAAGTCTTGACGTACCAACCACGAACATTTATTTGTTGTTCTCATTTTTTCTCTCTGTTGCATTTAATTGAAAATGAAAGTATGCTTTCACATAATTAATAACATTAAGCAAGATGTATAAAATAACAAGATTATCTTTTATAATTAACTCTAATTTTTTTTTATGGCAGTAAACTTTATACATTTTTAATGAATTTCGTCAAGGTGTATAACTTTGAATGTATAATCTGGAAAATAGTTATAGTTATATGCAGTATATTAATTCGGTGATTATAACTTCATCAACATGTAGTTCTACAGGATTAACACTAGTCATTACAATAATATAATGTATTTAGAAAATAATTATTTTGGGTAAATATAATATATAAATAAATAAGTTAAAAAGTGATATATTTTTTTCCTTTTTATTATCCAATCTAGATTTTGTACAGAGTTATTTTTTCAAGTTCAAACCCAATGCAATTAACAATCTATATTGCTTCAATTAATGTTTTGATAATTTAAGTGCAAATCAACTATAATTACACTGCTAGGATAATTTTTCTTAAAAAAAATATTGATATTTTAACACACTCTATTTATGTTTCTTTTACTCTTTTTCATTAAATTATTATGATATCCTATTTTATTTATTTAAAAATTTTCAAACGCCCGAAATAAAGGTAGATTTCATAGGAAGAACCCAGTCAAATCCTCGAGCATTTTATACGAATTTCCCAAATGATGAAAATTTCAAATTTCGAGTGTGATATCTCTACTTGTGTTATTATGACTTAATAGGATAAATTATACGAAAAATAAAAATAATACGCTTGTATTTTTTTAATAAAATAGGAGAAAACATTGTTTAAAAAAATAATTGTATAAAAACATGTTGAGAGACAATAAAAATAAAATTGAAAATGAGGATATATATAGGTGATTTAAAATTACTACAATATTGGAAAAAAAAACATTAATATTGGTTGGTGAGTTCATATAATACAGATGAATATTTATAAAAAAGGTTAATCAGATATCTATAGTTCAGAATTTCCACAATTTGAATTGCTCGTGAGTTCTGAAAATTGTTACATCCAAAGAATCATTGAGTTCACTTGTACATTCAATCTTCTGATTGCTTATAATGCTACAAGAAGAAGAAAAGCCGTACAACTTGCAGAAACCATTACATACAAAGATCCAACACCCTGCAAATGCATAATTTCTTCATCATCACCATCACTTTCTACAAATTATAGGTAAAATTCATGAATAATACAAAGTGTAAGAGCAAGCATACCTTGAAGGAAAGAAAGGAGGAGGTTGCTGATGAAGTGAGTCCTGTGAAACCTATATCATAAGCAATGCTACCATCTGGTTTGAACAATCCAAAGTTTCTCTCAAAAGTTGGACCAAGCTTCAAATTCTCGTTAAACAAAGCAAAAATATAAGCTCTCACAACCATCTTAGGCCTATAAGGGGTACCCTTTTTCTTCATCAACAGCTTCTTCAAGTTTTTGTTGTAAGTCTTTGCATTTTTTAAGATTGCACCAGCTTCATTGTCATCACCACGAGAGGCCCAACCGGTCTCGGAAACAATGACTTCCATCTTGTCGAAACCAACCTTCTCCAAGGCTGCATAAGCTGCATCGATTTGAGCCATGAACATGTTGTCGTAGTGCAGCTTAGTCTTGGCATCGTAAATCCCTGGATTTTTCTTGAAGAGAGCATAGTTTATGTCAATGTGTTGAGGGTCATTCTTGTAGGCCAAGAAGGGGTATGCGTTTATGTAGAAAGGAGTGCCGATTTGTGAGAAGAATTGCAAAAGGGGTTTCATGAAAGGAAGAATATCGTCCCTGAAAGTGCATGCAGATGGAGGGTAGGAGTTTGCGAAGACAGCCTCGGAATGTGGACTTGACACCTGAATTTGATGTTGCAGATTGAGCCTAGCAAGTGCAGTGTAAACATTTTTAGCTGCTGGCAGCAAAACTTCCCACAGCTCCATGTCTCCTCCTCCTAGTATTTCGTTCCCCACTGCAATGCCACGAATTCTGGTTCCTGGAAGAAATTGCTGAACGTTTTCTTTGATCCAGTTCATGGCACGATCCTCTCCCTGACTTATGTCTCTCAGAAACTCATTTGGTAGCCCAATGATAATTCCAATCCCTGACCCTTTGAAGGCACTCAGAACTTGATGATCAGCATCATATATTCTGATGTTCCTAATCTTTGCAGCTTTCAGAAGAGTAACCACACTCTGAGGAGAAGGTAGATTGTCTGCAATCCTACCATAGTTCACTCCATACGTTCCAGTAAATACTTTATCCCCCAAAACTGCACCACACAAGAACATCAAAACATGGTCAAAATTTAAAATCCATGCCACTGAAAAACAATAACACGATCTTTATTATTACCAAGAAAAGGGTCTCTCTACTAACCAAAAACAAACATTTTTGCATGGTATCAAACAGGAAATAATCTATGCAGTACATGAGCACGTTAAATTTACCAACTTTTAAAATAACTACTCTAAAAATGGTATTTTTCTGATAGTTACTGATATGCAAAGACGTTAAATTCTCATAAAAATGTAGTTGCAAACTCGACAATGAAGTGGGAAATTCAGTTTTGAGAAGAAAAAGAAAAGCTTAAAGATGAGTTGAGAAAGAGAAAAACACAGACCGTGAGAAAGTGTTACAGAGAAGAAGATAAGGCAAAGAAAGAAGGAAGTTGAGTAAGAGAACATGGTCCGTCGTAGTGTGAGGATATTAAGAATGAATGAGCAATGTTGTGAGTTCCCTGTAATATGTAATTCAATAACGTAACACGGTTGGTGAAGAAATGATAGGCAAACCTGGCGGTGATGCAAAACTTTTCCTCCAGGAATGCCATAAGCTAAAGATTCGAAGCTTTTTGGCAAAAGATGATGACCAAAATATCTGAATAAGATTCTTAGCCTTAAACAAAAGATGACTGAAATATAAAACAAGGATGTTTACAGAGACTTAGAACATATTCTTCCTTTCACCACCCTTTAACTCTCCTTAAAGTATACCTTTTTGCAACTTTGATCAACTGAATGTGTCTGCAGCGTAGCTAGCAGAGGCTTCAAGCTAGACACGAAGGATCTGTAAATTCATCATCATCATCAATACCTTTCGTTCCTCTGTCATTTCTTTGATTCAAGTTTTGCATTGACAAAATAAACTAATTAGTTAAATTAATCTGACCCAGTCTTTGTCACAAATTTTATGCAGAATTTTTTTTATACTATTATTTTCACATTCAGCAAATTTTTACACATATTTTGTATGTAATATTTTCCTTTTAATTTTTTTATAAATATAAAAGTTAATTTTTGAAATGATTAAAATATTCCTGAATTAGCGTCTGTAAAAAAATATTTTCTTTTTTTTATCCTTTTATGTGAAGGAACCAACCTCCAACAACCTTGGACATTCAGATGTGGATGACGCACTGACATGAATCTGGTACTAGATCTTCCTGGTCCGACGTAAAGTTCAGATTTTTACGTGATCAAAGCCTTCTTTTACTAGAATACATACACATCGTAGGTTTCAAATTTTACATATTAAATAAAATTTGATATGACAATAATAAGTATTGTATCGAAAATGACCTAAAACATTATTTATTACAATACGTCACCCATTTTATATAAAAAATAATTGAACATTGAAAATGCAAAAATCTATTATTATCAAACAAAATGCTCTTTTCTGTCAAATATCAGAATGAATAAGACAAGCAATTGTGTGTAGAAATCACTTATTTTTATCATCACAAGTTTATCAGATTACCCACGCCAAGCACGAGGCTATTTTAATTATGAACACTGAACACAACTTGCTAAAACAAAGTCAAATCAAGCATGGAAACAATGAAAATATGATATCAACACTTTCTATCTGTAGCTGAGAAAGATTACTGAAAAAGATTACTGAAAAGAGGTGAAGAAATAATGGAACAGTTAAAAACAATTAATTCCTAACAGAAATGTGTGCCAAAAGCCTACAACGATCGTTCATAACCCAAAAGATCTAGTCTAGGAGTGATACGCGTTTGATGTTCATCCTAAATACAACGAAATCTGAAGAAATAGTACAGAACTACAATAATCCAGGAGCTCATAAAACAACTACAGCAACTCAAATAACATTACAAAAGTCACCACCTATATCAGTAAGATACATTTAAGCACAGCTTTTACACTACAAGATGAACAAGAACTTTCACTGAGCACAGCTCCAGATAACTTGTCCGTTGTCAACCATTTTATTTACTTGCTCCTCAGCTTGAATGCTGTTCTTTCCATCACTTACAGGGATTTCTGTTATACCGTTCTTTTCCTCAACATCTGGGTTCGGCTTCACTTTCTCAGCTCCTCCATTCGCATCAGGAATCACACTATCAGCTATGTCTTGCTTCCTGTCATCAACTGTGCCATTTTCTTTTCCTGATGCAGTTCCTGCTGCCTCATCCACCTCTTGGGGTTTTTCAATGCCCTCCTGCTCCTCAGGCTTCTCAGTGATCTCCTCCTTCTCTTGGGGTTTTTCAGTTACCTCCTCAGTATTTAAAGCTTCCCCTGCAAATTTCTCCTCTGACTCTACCAATGCTTCTTCTCCTCCCTCAGGTTTATCAGCTGTTGCATTTTGCACTTCGGCATTACTGTTATCAATCTCCTCTGTATCAGTCTTTTTTACGTTGTTGTTATCAGTTTCAGCAGGATCTGGTTTCGATTCTTCGGCTGCGGGTTCGTTTTCTTTGCTATCCTTCTTTGAAGAACCTGATGATTTCCGGGATCTTTTCCTCGGAGGCTCGGTCTCCGGTGGAGTCGATTTGACCTTCTCGCTAATCCGTGCCGATCGCCGAGGGGTCTCACCGGTTCCCCAGTCAAACTCCGAGATGGCAGGATTCCCAGGATGTGCCCTTAGGTACTGCTCCAGCTGCTTTTTGGAAGTGATCTCTTCCCCAGTAGGAGCTACGAATACAATCTCACTTTTCCTTGGTGTTCCTACTTTCTTAGGGAAGAACTGCAGAGTGGAACCAAAGCAAGCATCACAACGCAATCTCCATGTTAAGGTTTATCAATTTCAGAGTTCGACAGAGAAACATCTACATTACATAGATCTTTGTATAATAATAGCTTCACACAAAAAAAAAAGCAAAAGCATAAGGATAGTTATCTCCTTTGTATAAATCACTGCTGGTGAAAACAACTCCATGTAGCTTCCTTATCCTATTATGAACCGATATGAAAATATGAGATACCTATACAAGCTATTGATAGTTATCTCCAAAATTCACCTTTTATTAGTAGCTTCTGTTCACATAAGGATCTAGAATAAATCAACCAATATGTTCCTAAAGAGTTCAGGAGTTTCCATGGCATATATTTTTGAAATATCTCTCAGACAAGGAAAATTGCACTTCTGAATCCGGAAACTACGAATTTAATAAGGAAGGAATGGTGCAGCAATGGAATAGAATCAACACCAAGATTTTCTGAATCACATAACAAAACGAAAAACACTAAAGCCGTGACACTAGGTAGCAAGCAAAAGCAAAGACATAAATCCATGGAAACACAACATAGTACCAGATAAAAAGAGACATTGTCTTCGATTTTTTCTACAGCGAGATGCCCAGAATCTTGTAGTATTTTTCAGGAAATTTGCGCAGGGATCACAGTGAAAGAAAGGAGCAGATTGCAATGGCATTGAAATTAAAAAGAACTACTTTCGCTACGAAATAGGAACTGAACTCAGTGTCAACATAATGAAACTAAGAAAACCAAAAAACAAAATAAACTGTCTTGACAACGTTAGCCCTTTGAGAAAAGCCATGAAATCCCGATTAAGCACAGAATTCTTCAAAACATTTGCACTACAACAAGATAAAACTAACAGGAGAATTTGAATTGAATGAAATAGACCATTATTACACTCCCTTTCCCGAAAACTCTAGAAGCAAAATTCGACACTGATTCTTCCAAATCCAAACCATTACACCAAAACAAAACTAAAACACCAGATTTTTTCCTCTGCAACAAAGTTACCATCATCCCAAATTAATCCCACCCGGATAACCCTAGAAACAAAACTAATTCACACTACAAAAAATAAAAACAGAGACTTTCTCGTAAAGGAACCATTTCATGACAACGTCATCCCTTTCCAGAAAAACCCTAGAAACAAAGATTCACACCGAATTCTTCCAACCGGTTACCCGACAAAAACATTAAAACCATTTTTGTTTTCTCAAAAAAGGTACCATCATCGCAAGGTCATCTCTTTCCCGAAACCCTTAAAACAAAAACAAGCACCGAATTGATTCAACCATTTAATCTAAAAAAAACCTACAAAAACATTTAATAAGACTATAACATCGGTAACAGCAAAAAACCATGGAAATTGGAAAAACAGACAGTAAATGAAAGCATGGAATGGGAAAATAAATTAAAATAAATTAGAGAGAGAAAGAAAGAGAAGAATGAGAAGAGACCAGTTTCTTCCAAGCAGAAGGGGCCGATAGCTCAACCGATAAAACCTCATCTTTTCCTGCACTCTGCGGTTCGCTCTCCATTCCTCTTCTCACACTCACTTTCTCAACTTCCTGCTATTCTCTGCTAACCCAATTGCAACCAAACAAAAAAATCAAAAAAAAAAAGAATGCATAAAGCGTCGAATTAGGATATGGTTCTCTCTGTTCCCCTTTCTCTCTCAAACTGTCACCAAATTCAATTCCAGAAAGGGCTTTTCTAAACTCACCCACCTCTCTCAAACCTCCTCTCTCACCCTCCAATCAAATCCCCCCAAAGACACCTCCTTTCTAATTAATATTCTTATCCATTTCCAGCATTTCATCTTCTTCACCTTCCATATCGACACGTGCCTGTCATCAAACTTGTCCCAGCACAAACTTCAAGAACTGTTACATTTACCAATTTCAAATTAAAGTACGCATTTTTATGCATGAATTGGAAGTATATTCTTATTTTCAAAATGAAAATGGTGTTTTAAGGATTAAAAAATGAATGGGTGTGTGGTAAAAGTAAAACACAAAAAAAAGGTTGAAATTTGAATATGTGGAGAGTGGTAGGTGTTGCTCACACGTGAAAAGTTAGAGTTTATGGATAACCTTCTCTTCTCTTTTGTGTTAACCAGATTTAAATGTGTGGTTGGAGTCCGAAACTCACCGACCAATCACCTTCCGATTTCAAATTCAAATTCTTCCGACACTTTCTTTCTTTTATGCAATTTTCTTTTCATTTAAATAATAAAAAATCTGGATAACGTTCTTCTCCCGGTTATTAACATTTAATAAAAATCAATTCTTTTTTCGAGTCCGAAACCACCGACCATTACCAAATTTAATTTTTTTTAAACTAAGTAGTAAAATTAAATTAAAAATAACACAAATACAAATATCTTAATTACGATAAAAAATAAAAAAACTAATTGCTTATATATCACTCACCTTAGTTTTTTTCATGACACTCTTTTTTTGTAAATTTCCTCAAAGATTTCTGAAAATGAAATTTTTCTAAAAATTAAATTAGTTTCCGTACAGGTTAATTTATGGAAATTGTTTGGTTTAATATGCTTAATATTTTTAATTTACGTACAATTTAATATTAGCTTATAAAAAAATCATTTTTGCTTTTCTTGTCGCAATGAATAATCCAGTCCCGACAAACTCTAATTAGTTTAATAACAACAAATATGGTTATTGTTTGATATGAGAGGTAGAGATTTAGGGTTTTCTCAAAAAAAGTAAAAAAGGTAAAAAGGTTAAAGTAAATATGATAGTTTTTTGTAATTAAAATTTTTTTGGGGAGGTGTAGGAAGTAGTTGAGGTGGTGGAGGGAGTAGCTCTCTAAAAACAAGAAAGTCAAGCCCATCTTTTCGGGTCCATTTAAAAGTGATTGAGTCCGCGAGCAAACAAAAAGGCTGAGAAAAAAAAAACACAAACAAAATCGGTCGAAAATTCAGTTAAAAAAAGTATGATGTCACTATAAAGATATTGTGAGTCATATATTCTTTTTTAAAATTTTTTATAATTTTTTTCAATTTTCTTGACTATCATCCATCACCTTTATTCTTCTAGTGTATAAACCACAATATTATTGAGATGAAATCCAACTTATTCACCTTTATTCACTTTGGATTTCAAATCTCTTCTTCATTTATTACATGCATGTTGTTTTTGGAGGGATTCATGATAACACAACTAGTAGAGTTTCTCAACAAACAAGATGTTTATAGGTAGTGAAAATTAATTGATATTTGAAATTTTGTTGGTCATTCTATTTAGTTTTAAGAAAATCAAGTTTATAGGAATTGTAATGTTGCTTATGTAATTATTTGAGAGAATTGCTTGAATTGTAGATTGATAAAGTGAAAATTTTTTGGATTACAAATTGTATTTGGAGTGTGAATGATTGATTATATTGTTTGAATTAATATTAGTTTTGCTAAATTTAGGTATTTTGAATGGAAGAATTCAAATTTGTTACCATCTTAAATGCATCTTTATGATCAAA